CTCTCTCATATACACACACACTCTCTCTCTCTCATATACACTCACTCTCTCTCACTGACTCTCTATCCCGCGCACACTCATACGCTCTCTTACTCTCTCTCAAGCTAGTGGCTTAGGGAAGTTGTCTGCTGTCCGAATTTGATTGTCGCTGTGCTATACGATACGCGACTCTTATTCGCGAATTGGTTTATTCCTTTCCGGTTAGTTCACCGTCCCTTCTTCGTCTTCTTCTTCTTCTTTTAATTCCTACAATGAACGAGATGGAATGCAAGAACGTTGTGGACACTGTGATGCACGCATGCTTCAAGCATGACAACAAAGAAGCAGACCCGTCTCATTGGGCGTGGCATTCGTATTGGTAGGATCTTGGCGACTGACAACGTGCAGTTTTCCTCCAACAGCGCGAAACAACTCGCGCCACCCCCCCCCCCCCCCACCCCCGGTAAATAATTATATATATATATTTTTACAAGAAGTCGTCGGGGCGTTTAAGAATCCACAATCGATGGTTTGGACGATCCTACACGGTAACGGTTCGATTTTTTCCTCTACTTCTTTCCTTCGTTATGGATCCCAACATTAGATCGCATGCCTCGAGGACCCCATCGGCAAATATCCCGCCTCAAGGACCCCCACCTCTGTCCAATCTGCATCAGTATCAGATGCAGCCACACTACTCGATGGCGCAACCGCATACTCTGCCCCCGCTGCAGCATCCACAGAGCCATTCCCCTGTGCATCCTTCCTATCTAGGACAGCCCTATAGACATGAGATGCCCCGGTATCCGCCCACGTCCTCCAACGACGTGTATGCTGCGTCTTCCGCTCCTATGCCGCCTCATACTACCGTCAACAGCTTGCCCCCGTCTTCATTCTTGACCCACCATCACATCCAGCAACAATTCCCGTCGCATGGCTTATTGCCCCCGTCGACCACTTCGCCGGCCTTTCCTCAGCCCATTGCGCCGGCTCCTCCTCGGGATCGAAGAGCGGATTATGGTGGTGCTTTACCCTCCGGTGCGTTCAGTGATACAGGACCCAAAGGACCCATAGTGACAACTACAAATAGCTTATCTAATTCCCCTGCAGCTTTCGTTCCAAAGGACCCACCGCGCACCCAGGTAGTTGGATCCCAGGGCCGGAGAGGGATACTTCCAAGCGTGCCAGGGCGGGCTGCTGCCATTACTAACGGTGCAAACGGTACCACCAAGACGGCTATCCCTGCTAAAGACGCGGATGGGAAATTCCCTTGCCCACATTGCAACAAGACATATCTGCATGCAAAGCATCTTAAACGGCATCTGTTGAGGCGTAAGTGGTTCTCAGCCCGATCAACCCATTTCTATGACCGGCATATACTCTCCGGTTTGACAGTTAAAAAGTCTTTTTCGTTTTTTTAACCACTTTTCAATACAGATACTGGTGATCGCCCGTATATGTGTGTTCTGTGCAAGGACACATTCTCCCGAAGCGATATTTTGAAGCGCCACTTTCAAAAATGTTCGTTACGTCGGGGCAATCCGACAGGTGTGAGCCACTTGTCGCATCCCCACGCTCATCTGAAGAAAGCTCAGGCAGCGGGTATTGTCCCCAAACCTGTTTCAGGAGATGTCAGTAGCTCCGTCCCGACTTCTAATGGTATCGTCGGAACACCGTTTGGGGAAGGGGGGCATGTGAACGGGGTTGGCATGGCCTCTGGTCATCACAACCCTGGATTTACGGATCAACGGCCTCTTGGTTATCAGATGCACCCTGTTGGCGGGATGAGCCGTGGTCCTGTCGATCATGGATACGCCCAAAACCAGATGCATCAGAGAGCTCCCTGGATGGCTGAACCCAAGCAGAGTTCGTATCTCGCGCAGTCTGGAACTGACACAACTGCCCAGTCGAACGTTGATTTACCCCCTATCGATGCAGCTAAATCTTCCAACAATATGCCTGACAACAAGCGCCCTGGCATGCCTACCGGGCCTAACCCCGGTCAATCCGGTGAAATCGACTGGACATCGATGTTCCAAGCTGGCACTCAGGATGGTTACATGCAGCCAATGTTTCCAGCTTCAGTAGCCCCCGTTCCCGACTCGATGCATTCTCAAGTTGAGACCGATCGCAAGTACTACCCGGCCGCAACGAGTGGGCAACCCGAAGGTGGATTGAATGGACTTTATTTAGCTTCTACTAGCTTGGGCGGTGACGGTACGCTCGACTCATACCCTATCTGGAATTTTAACATGTCGCAGCATAACCCGCTGCAACGTAAAGCGGACCGCCTCATTGACTTTTGCTTTCCTACTGGATTACAGGAACCGTTCAGCCTGCACGCCAATAACGCACAGGTGCTGAAGGATTGCTTGACGGCCGATAACGTGAAACATTTTCTCGAACTCTTTACGAATTACCAAGGCCATTGGCCCTATTTACATATTGCCACTTTTAATTTTTTAGATGCGTACGATGGTCTTATTCTTGCCATGTGCTGTATTGGAGCTGTTTATTCCGACCGTGTTGAACCGGACCTGGTTCGGAGTTTGGTAGCTGTTACCAAGGCTGCCATACTGCGAACCTCCCGCATTCAGAATGACCTACGAACCGGCATTGCCTCAGACCCAGATTCTTCGATCAAAGTGGAGCCCACTGATGTTCCTCAGTCCTTGTCAGCCAATGACATTGAGGAGATGCAGTCAATTTTTATGTTAAATACTCTGAGTGTTTGGCATGGTGATCCGAAGCAACGAGCCGCAGCACGGTCCGATATTTCCTTATTTGTTCGCTTTATTCGTCGCTTTCGTTTGCTTGAGCCTGCGGGCCCCGATGATCCCTCGTGTTATAGTTTGCTTCATAATATGCCTCATGAGAAAGCGGTTGACATTTCCAACTGGAATTGGCTTGCTTGGGTAGAACAGGAAAAGAGGTCTCGTCTTGTATTCATGTTCTATTTAGCAGATGCCGCCATGGTAATGTTTTTTAACTGTCAACCACTTCTAAATCCTCAGGAGATTAAGCTTCCCCTACCTTGTGACGATGCTGCATGGGAGGCAAGAGATCCTCAGCAATGCGCCGATGCCTTGGGACTTAGAGGTCCTGATGTTCAGGCTATTGTGAATGTGACTGGCAGTTGCCGGATAAAACAGCTTGAGATGAATCAGGCTTTGTCCGCTTTGCAGAGTCCGGTTGTTGATTTCCGCCGAAGAGCCACAAACGTCTACTCGAAGTTCATTCTCATTCACGCGCTACTTGTCCAAATCTGGCTCGTTCAGAAACAACTATCTCTTAACGGCGCTCCTGAGGACGACAACGACAGGACCATATCTGAGGGTTTCAGTGCAAGCGACATATATAATCCCGTCTCCCGTTCCGACTGCGCATCCATGGACGGAATTATCTCCAAAAACAGCCCAAGTAACGGTCACGCTAACCCCACCGACGGCAGTCCTTCGAATGCTCCATCATCATCACACGCCAATATTATATACAAGTCCACAACTCAAGCTTTAAAGAAGTGGAAGCGTGTATGGGATGAAGATATGTCAATACAATATCCGCCAACTCCGACCTCAACCCGGCGGTTTGGATTCTGTCGCGATTCTATCCCTTACTACTGGCTCGCTCAGGCCCTGCTCTGCCCCAACCGGCAGAACGACTGGAAACTGACTCCTGATGCACGTCTTATACACATTATGACAATGCTCCAGAAAGTTCGTGGATATGCTCAGACGGATGCGGCGCAGAGGGGCGAGGGACTTGGTTCTATTAGTGACATTGATGATGGCTATGCTATCAAGGATCTTACGCTTGATATGAAGTTATTGTTCAGACCCATACGGCAACAGTTCGAAGGCGATATATACGTTCAACGGATATGAAGTCTTCACGTTATAGCACCTATAGCAGGGTGGGTTTTCCGGGTTCGATTAACGGTTTCCCTCGTCCAATATCATCAGGTTCAAAGGCAGGCAAGGTTAAGCAATCCGACAAAACAAGGTACCCACGCAAACGCAAGCACGTAACGGCCGAATCAACCCTTTTTGCGACATTTACCGAAGGTTACGCTACATTATTCCTTTTGTTTATTTCCTCATCATCGAGCAGCAGCACCAATACCAAGCGCGCTGGGCCGCCGGGTGCAACCGCCACAATCTCTTTTCAAAGGCAAAAATCGGACGACACGAAAACCACATTTAGCATTTATAGACTCGGACCGGAGCATTTAATTTTTTGGTTTTATTTCATGAATGGGTTCACCAAAAGAAAAAAAAAAAAAAAAAAAAAAAAAAGAAGAAGGTTCTACTTTCCTTCCCCTTCGTTCTGCTCTTTCCGCAAAAAAGAAAAAAGTACCTCCGCTTATATTTTATTGCATTCATTTCATCCGCTTGTTCACGTTATCGGTTTTTCTCTCATTCCGCTCACTCACTTGATACATATTCCCCACACATATACACCGTGTTTTCTTGCGGATAAAGAAAAAAGAAGAGGAAGGAAGAAGAAGAAGGAAAGTTATATACCGGATTATGTTCATGTTAAACGGCCGTCTTTTTCGAAACATCCAGAGCACAGAAAGAACAGCATATACATACATTCTTCATCCCCTTCAATTACATAGTTTTCTTTTCTTTTCTTCATATTCTGTTTCTGATTTTTCCATTGAGATGTACAAGACCTTTTCTTTCTTTGTTTTCACTCACATAAAAGATTTCTTTATTGTTCATCAACTTTTTTCTCATCACACTGGCTTTTTTTGGTGGCTTTGGGAGGGTTTGGTGGTTTGGTTTTTGGCTTGGTTGTTTGTGTGTGTTTTTTATTTATGCATTGCTGAAAGTTTCCTGTGTCTTGTGTTCTATTTGTCTATTTTCCTCTCATCTTTTTTTCTATTTCTGTTTCTGTTCTGCTCTCTTGTTTGCTATCTCATCTTTCTTTTATTTTTGCATATCTCTAACAAACTATAACCAACTTCAATAACAAATAAATAAACAAAATATTAAGAAAAAAGCTTTAATATTATATCTCATATTATATTATATCCTCTCAAAGGAATTCCTGACTTTGAGATGGGTTTTCTTTAGGAAATTTCTTCCTCATAGTTACCCTCATTCCCACGTACCCCGACGAAGGGAAATTGAAGAACGACGAAAGTAGAAGTTCATAATGATTGTCTTTGCAATTGCAATTGCAGTTTCTTCCCCCCCCCCCCTCTTTGAGGTAACTGTGGTTGGGCTATAGCTGCCTTTTCTTTTGTTTGTTTTCTTTTCATTTTTCCATTTTTATATGCGATTGAGCGTCCAATTTTCTACGGGTGAAGTGTAAATCATGTGACCTACAAATGTCCACGTGACATAATTTTGTTTTCGTCCAATTGGAAAGGGGCGGCGTTTTCATCCCCCGAATTTCCCGAAACGATATATATCCAATTCCTCCATAAAAACAGGAACGACCTCTTCCATACCCAGAGAAACCAAAACAAAAGACCCCCCGATCTATAATTCCTGTGGGATCCTCTTCTTCCCCGTCTCTTTTGTCGCTCTCGCTCTCTTTGCGTTGCGTTTTTGACAATGGTACGTTCTTGATGATTTTCCTTGTTTTTGTGGTTTTTGGGGGGGTGTTGCTTTCGTTGTTTGGCGGGTGGGTTTGGTTTTGGTTTATTGTGGCTCGGATTGGAGGAGAGGGGGGGGGGGCCCAAATTGGGGGTTGTGATTGGGATTCGAGGGTTTCTTTTTACTTTTTTGCTTGTTGGCTACCTCTGGGCATGATTGGGGTTCATTGGCGGGATGGAGCGTGGTTTGTGGTTGCGATTCGGGGTTTGATATGGATGACGACGACGACGACGATGATGGGGATGGGGATGGGGATGGGGAAACCCAACACGACGTAACGCAGCTGTGGGAATCGCCCCCGCGCGTTTTCAATTAACGAAATTCCGCGAGTCGCAAAAAGCCAGACACCACACAAACACCCTGTGCTATTTCCGGACCCGTAACCATCGGGGTCAGCGACTCAGCCGGGTGGTGTGTTGGATTCATTCCAATGCGATTCTAGCGCATACCGTGGTCCTGGTATCTCATTCCACCACCGCCGCTGCCGCTGTCGCTGTCGCTGCCGTCGTCGTAGTCAATCACGAACCCAATTGCGAAGAACGGGGGACATGCAAGATCGAGGAATTTTTGAAGATTGCCGCTCTTACCTGAGATTTATTTCTTTTATTTCTTTTCATCGGCGTTTCCCTAGACCTATATATATACGTGGAGAGGGGGGGAAATGGAAATGGCAATGGAGATATTATCGAGGAGCATTTTTTTTTGCTAACAGCGACTGGTTTTTTTTTTTTTTCTTTTTTCCTGGTACATAGGTTTCGCCTTCCGCCGCTCGCTCGGCCGCTGCCCCTGCGTCGACTACGAACCACCGGAGTCCCTTTGCGCTTAGGTGAGGATTACAATCATTGTTTGCGTTTTCGGGCTTGTTTCACTCGCTCTTTTTTGGCTTGTTTTTGGCGCGCGTGGGCGCGATGCTGGGATTTTTATATTTTTCCCCCTCGCGGAGTGGGGGGTGTCAAATATGCCGAACGGTGGCTTAGAACGTATCGGAGGATCTAGAGTTGTTTGCGCAGGGGCTGGGCAAAATGTCGCATTATCCGGCGATGAAGAAGGCTTTATATTCATGCCATTTTCAACCAACAGCTCTAGCAGAAGAGGAGAAAGGAATAGATATTCATACCGGCTACCTATAACCAGGCTCTGATGAACCAGTTATGGATGAGGGAGACATATTATACCGGTCGATCGATATTCATTCACAATGGACGGATTGTTAACCTTGCCGTACCGACTGATATAGTTGCTTTTCCTGGGAGCACGGCGCTAACCATGAATTTTGTATTCAGATACAAGAAACAACCTCACTATGCCGGCTTTCCTCTGAAAACCTCTGTTCGATAGTAAGTATCTCTTTTCCTTCCCGATCCCGATCTCTACCATATGCGTTTATCTGGGAACATGTGACCCTCATCCCACTCAAGCCCACCGATCCGTACGCCCCAATTCCAATCGAATATGACTGTCATATCACTAACTCATCGTCACTTTTTGTTTCCCCTACTAAACAGCGGCACAATTGCCACAGCCTTCGGCGCTACCGCTGGAATCTTCGCCGTCTTCTTCTTCGGAGAGGTCCCCCGCGTCCGAAAGGATATCCTGATGAACATCCCCGTCATTGGCGGATACTGGGAACGAAGCATCCCTCCGGAAGATAACGTGAGTTAATCTCCCCCTTTGGTTTCCCACCATTTCGCTACGTTGTATATTCAGATATATGGGGTTGGCTCATATTTTGCGAACCGAGGACTGATCTGGATTTTCTTTCTTTCTTTCTTTTTTTAAAAAAAATCTAGCCCTTCTAAACCATCTCTCTATGTATTTCTTTTTCGAGCTTGAGGTCTGCTCCGTATTTGCGAAACTATATAGAAAGGAGCGGAGGGGGGGCTCTGGTACTTGTTTCGCCCGTTTCTTTTTGATTAGATTCATATGTATGGACCTGTTGCGCGATTGTGTGTGTGTGTGTGTGTTGATCCGGACCAGGAAAGGGGGAGTAGATTGTAGCACCTATGTAGTATAGAGCGAACACAAAAGCATTCTCCTACCTATTCCCACTTATCTGCCCCAAGATAAAAACAGAAAATTGTCGATAAAAAACCATAATAAACAAAGAGGAGCGGAGTATTTTATATTCATTCCCCTTCGCGCCCACGCCCATACAACAGTTGTATACATATAGACTATACTATAATAGTACATGTACATGTACATGTGCAAAATGCAAAATGCAGAGAGAAGACAGACAGCCACGCCACGGTAAAATTTTTTATATCCATCCCATATATCCATCCCATACTTCCCACAAAAAACCAAAACAACCCTGAAAGCATTCTCTCATCTCCTGCACTTTTATTCATTTATTTCACCCCCTCCTCATTTCCCCACCCCTCTCATTCCCACTCTCCCTCCTCCCCTTGCGTTTCCCTTCCTGTTGGTTGACAATGACACCGCGAGGAGGGAGGACATGTACAAGGTGAGAGGGAGAAAATGGAGAACATGGAGCATGGGATGGTTTATTACATGAAATGATTGTCCGCGCTCAACACGAAATGAAAAAGCCAATAAAAGAAGATAGATGGTGCGAAAAAGGCGGGAGAGCGGGAGAGAGAGAGAGAGAGAGAGAGAGAGGAAATGGAAAACGGGAGGAAGGGGATATTTATTTTAAATATTATTATTCTTTTTATTTTTGGGGGAAAACAAACCGAAAAAAAAGAAAGAAAGAAAGAAAGAATAAAAGAAAAGGCCTTGATGTGCATGTGAGACGAAAGCGGACTGACTTGCACTGCCTGACTGAGTGAGCTCGCTTTTATAATCTGTTCCATGTTCCTTTTCTTTCTTTCTTTATTTTTTATTTTGCAGTTTCTGCAAAGAAAACTCCAGATGGCATGAAAAAACAATATTGCGCCTTTCTTCAAGGGGAAGCAGGAAATGTGTTGCCTCTTCTCCTCTCCGGAGCCTCCTATATTCGCCTTAACATATAGATGGCCATCGACCGACCTGTCATCCCATATGGATCCATTACGGGATTCGGACGAGTAGTTGTCGTAGCTTTTTCGTAGTTCTTTCGTGCTCTTCGTTTTTGTGCACCAAATGATATTTTGCCTGCGTTGATCATGAATATTCATAGCAGTCATGTTGTTTTCCCTCTCTCCTCTCGCTCCGCCAGATGTTAAAAAAACAAAAAACAAAATCAAGGACCAATGGGGTCGTCTGTGGAATCTGAATCTGAGACTCTATACATATTGTCGTCGTGGGAAAACCTCCACCACACCGGCAACCGAAAAAAAAAAAAAAAAAAAAAAAAAAAAAAAAAAAAAAAAAAAAAACCCAAATAGCGGCCAACTGGGGCGAGCGGGTGGTGGAAAAAAGGACCATTTTGACCAGTAAATAGGGAAATATATATTTTCAACACTCCCCCCCTCGTCTCCCTTATACTCAGAGACAGACAGACCATGCTCCCTTGTTAAAGGCTGAGCTGGTCAGCACTCCCAACCCTCCCTAGATGTCGTCCCCCTTTAGTTACCAAACCCAGCGAATAGAACCGCTCTTCACCCGCAGCAGTCCGGCCACCTACATACCACTTCTCGGGACCCATGGCATCGCGGAACCCGCCGCTCCCACTGCTGCTGTCACTTCCCCGACGGTGCCTGTTGTGGGAGGAGGGTATGGGTATTGGTAATGGCGCGGCGGGTGCTGGGCTCGTGGAGTGAGATTGTGCATGTGGGTTTGTGCTGCTGTGATGTTGTTGCTGCTGCTGCTGTGGATGGTGATGATGATGATGGTGGTGGTGGTGGCGGTGGGAGTGGTGGGGATGCAGTTGGCCTGCAGAGGCGGAGGCGGCGGCGGCGGCTTGAACGGCAGCGGTTGTGGATTGGGGTGGCGGACTTGAGGAGATATTGTTGTTTGTTGTTGTGGATCCGCCTGCGGCCGTTGAGGATGAGGACACCGCTTTTGTAGTTACAGTTCGTGTGTTGGGGGATGTGGACGGGGATTGGGTAGCTGAGGTTGAGGCTGTAACGTGGGATTGTGAGAGGGGGTTTGTCGTAGAGCCCGTCGAAGGCGGTTTTGACGATGCCTTGTAGGCGGATTGGGCGCGGAAAGCTGCCAGGAAATTGGCTAGGAATGGGCGGTTGGTTGACATGGCGTCGAAGTTGTGATACGGAGCGTTGAGAGGGATGTGGTTTTTGTTTCAGAAACGGGTGATTTGAGCCTGGCTTGCGCTGGGCTCTTCTTGCCACCCTCCCGCTGGCCGTTCTCAACTCTTTTTATCCCCGAACAAATTACGCCCTCTGGCCAGGACGGGAGTACACAACTGAACCTCTTATTCGAAATCTGCGAGATTGGTAAGATAGAATCGACAGGTTGTATGTCACCGTTCGGGAGGTGTATGAGGAGGTGTGACTTAATTCGACCAAAGTTAGCGGAACTGTCTAGACCTATCCCCGGCAAGTAGTCCCGAGGGAAGTATTTAAAGGTGTGGTATATATATATATATAGCCTCTTACCGAATGCTTCCGTCCCTTTATGCCGTTGCGATATTGCGAACTAAAAGATGGGGGGAAGGGAGGGGCCTGATCTGATGCCTGCGATCTATTTACGCTAGGGTTGGTGCGGAGTAAACAAAACAGGTTTTGAGAGCAACGGAGAGGAATTCAATAGCAACGTGGTGGGAGGAGATATTTAGACAGGCGATTCCAAATCCCGGACGATGATAATAATGAATGATATCCAATACGAGATATTTAAGTAGGCTAGGGTTTGGTAGTGTAAATAGTTGGGGTTTGGTTTTTCGATCGGCTTTGTTTTCAAGAAGTTCGAACTATTCCGCGACTATTCTCGCCAACCCGCTGCTGACGCTTGAAAGGATGGGGGGATGAAGCGGGGTGGGGTTGGACCAAAGAAAAAAATAAAGTAAAAGGTAAAACTCAAACTTCAGATGGGACGATTGGCGATTTGCGATGGTTGAAGTTCGAGGATGAGATGAGGATTGATGAGGATGAGGTTGATTGATATTGATGATGATATCAGAGGTTCTGGGCGGCGAGGGAAAAGTCGGAGCCGGCGCTGGGGAACCTCGGAGCTTATCGGGTGCGGCATTCCTACGGGCCATACATGTATATTATGTATATGTATGTATATGTTGTAGCATCACTGTTTGATATTTATATAAATATTTGGACATCCCATAACTATCATTTTATACAGTGTCATATATTCTCTTGTCTCCTCTCCTAGCTATATGTCCTATTGTTGTCGTCGTCTCCCGCTGGTTGCGCTGGCGCCATGGCGGCTGAAATTGACCTCCCTGCGCTACCTGTGTGCTCTGACACATGTCTCTAGATATATAAAGTGATATTATTTGATGACAGTGCTTGAAAATCAGGCTGAGGGTTGGCAACAGCTGAATGGGTGGAGGAAATCAGTTAAAGGGCTTATTAGGAACAGGGGCCGCGATGTAGTTGAGGAAAGTATGCAGCAAAAGAAGCAGTCCGTCCAATACGGGAGTCATTAAAAATGTCTCTTGCACTTAGAAGAAGAATCAAGGATTTGTCTTCATGTATGTTCATCTTTACGAATGGGAGTTTAAAGCGACTTGCTGTGTAACTATCGGTCTGGTGTGCCAGCCTTGAATTAAATGGGAAGAAGCGAGGGTATTTGTCATAGCCTTGCCGGCTTCTAGCCCACGGTCATCCTGCGATATCTACTGGTAGTTGAAGTAGCGATAATGATCCAGATGTACCCACGATGGTGGCTCTATTTCACAAGGCGATATATTTAATCAAATGCTCTCGGGAGGACGGGAAAACGGCACGCTGTTCTCTGCACGAGGCTTACACACGGCTATTCCTCCTCCCACGTCTGCCCTAGCCAGTCGGTTTCCTTGTAGGAAGCTGTCGCACACCAGGGCTGGTCTTGCGGGGTATATGGACTCAGAGGCAGATCGTACGGCATACGCAACCCCACAAATGTAGTAGTAGTAGTAGTAGTCGTTGACGAGCCGCTGTCCTTGTCTACTCTGACTTCAGGCATATCCTGCTTAAAGCAAGGTAACATCACCGCGACTTTGTTCTTATCTTCCCGTGCCCCTCTCCTGCCATTCTCCCGTGCCTTTTTCCCTTTCCCCTTCTCCTTCCACCCGCTTCCATCATCATCATCATCATCATCATCGTCATCATCGTCATCTTCATCGTCATCCACCTTTCTGTTAACAAATAAATCAGGCCAGACTATCACGCCTATTTCCCAACTACATATCCGTATCTCTTTCTTCCCATTCGCTGCAGCGCCCCAGGCTTGCAGCGAAAGGTTTGCAGAACTCACCATTGCCCAGTCGATGGTGGTCAGGTCTGCATCTGAGAAACGGATGTATGTTTTTATATGCGGTGCTGCTCGGCGACGTCCTGCTTGCCGAATTGGCTGGCCATTTTTGTCGATGGTAGCGTGTTTTTGACTGGATTCACTGGCGTCCTTGCCCCGTTCTCGCCTGGCGTTGGTATTGGTTGAGCCCTGTCCGGAGATATCACTGCCATCGCTGGCATCACCATCGCCTGCCCAGCGACATAGATATGGGCGCAAGTACTCAAGTTGCTTTCGCTGTGCGGAGCTCTGGAGTTTCATATGGATAGATCCGCCGGATGCGTAGCCATTCAACGATCTGCGGATTTCATCTGGGGTGGGAAATATAATTGAGAATTTGGCAGGCGGGTTTGTCTTGGGTTTGAATAAACCCGAGGAGCTAGACCGCGATGGCGATGGAGAGAGTGCAGCGAAGAATGTCTCTTTTAGCCACTTGTCGGTTTGACCTAGTGTTGCCACTGAAGATATCTGGTGATTTTGTGTGCGTGAGTAGGGTACTCCTAGAAGCGAGGCCTTCCGACCCTAGCATTGAGCATGATCGTTTCTCACCTGTATGACTATTTGGGGTCTATTCCCTGTAGTATTGGTCCCCTTGTTAAGTGGGATTTGTTGTATTGCATCCTTGAGTGCAGGCCAGCCCCAGAGCGTATGTTTTTCCGAATCTAGTTCGTCAATTGCTTGCCTTGAGGGAACACTGGCTACCAGCCCAGCTCGAACGGTGCTAAAATCGTACTTTTCAAGTTGGTCGACGAGAGGGCCAGTCTTTTTACGGCCATAAGCCTCGAGATACGCTATCAAATCTCTCTTGAATCGAATTCCTGACCCGAACCTGTTCGAAGCGGTAGAACCTGGCCCACGTTTCATTTCATGACACATGGGAAGTAGCGGAGATCGCCAAACTGCTTGACACATATTCGCCCAATCTCCAGCAATCATGTTGGTCGTGTGAATAACAACCCTGTATAGATATCAGTGTCACTGTAGATAGCTTTTTTGAGCTAAGTGTGCTTACTGAGCTTGGTCGTCATGCCTGATAAGGATCATCATTTTCGAATGATGTGTCCCAAATGGTTCTGGCATATAAGCGACTATTGGCTCGACGTTGGGATACCGGCGGCAACTTTCCTGCATACGAGTTAGCACAGCTAAACAGTTGAATTATATGCTCTGGATGTCTAATGCATTGAGGGAAGTTGTGGAGCAGGAGACTTCTTCCCAGAAAGGATGTAGGAGAGTTAACTGACATCGATATGAATTCGATTGGGAGACTCCCGTTTCCAAGAGCCATGTACGATTTTCACATTTACCAAATTCCGCACATCTTCATCAAACTGGCTCATCAGAAAATCGACGTCAAACATGTAGTTGAACTGCCAACTTTCTTTGATGAGAGGGTCCCCGAGAATATCCCGCAACCTGACAGCATCCGCATTGTTCCCTGATGATGCAGAGAAATCGCGGATATGTGTGAGCTGGATTGGAGATGGGATGTTCTTTGGTGTTGAAGGAGCTTTTCCTTGCGGTTTATTTGGACTGGATGTCCTAGGCTGCCCTGAAGGCTGCCGCCGTAAAGGGGGTGTGATGGGTCTGTTGAGGGATGCCAACGTGCTAACATCTTGTAAAGGGGTATCGTAGCCCTCTTCTTGCAAAGTTTCATGAGAGCTCTTAAACCTCTTTGAAGGGCGTCCGCTATCCGTCATAGTTACCGGATATCCTCGAGATACAGCTGAAGCAGATCGTCTTCCATGCAGTATATAAAAAAATAAAAAGATGTGATCCTGGGTTTTCGAAACTTTTCTATATAGATTGACCATCAATCAATTCAAGAGTTGGGTTTTGCGGGAGCCCCAACACCGAACTCCCGCAGGGAAGATCTAAGCCAACAAATGAGATTTGTAAATAATAACTTTCTAGCCATCTATCTGCTGGAAGAGCTGCTAAACACCGCTGAGCTGGCGGGCTGTGGGCACTTGGGATGATTTTTCAGATGGCTTTTTTTTCAGTGGGTTTTCGAGCAATAAGGTGTAATTAACCCGAGCTGCTCCAAATAGCGGTTCTCAAGATTGATTTGGGCAAAAATAGTCCGCGCAGAGTGAGGAAGTAGAAAAAAGATACGTACACATTTGATGTTTGGTCACGTGAATTGCTGGCTACCTTAAAAGTCACTCGCAAGAACGTTCCCATTCTACTAACTAACTTACCTATTATCAAATACATCATTCGTTTAGTAACTGGCACAGGAATAAACTGACATATTAAGCTTCTTGTGTATTGGTCTCGGTTTGCTACTGCTAACATGAGTTTGCAGTGGTGATAACCTGCCCGGCGTTAGGATTGTAGGGGTCAAATTCAGAACATAACTAGTTGCTTAAGTCTACGTGAGCTATAAATTATATCCCATGTCCCGGTTTTAACAAGTATTAATGGAGTTTAGCATAACTGACTTGACGACTTGTTAGGCTTGCCCTATGATGAATATTGCTCTGCCGGACACCCATCAATAGAGCACGACAGGGAATCATGGCAAGCCCAGCACCCTCCCCAAGTGTCATTCAGCGAAGAGTGTGGGATGGCCGTATTCCCCTTGAGATAGGGCTGTCGCCGGCTGAATGCAGGACCTATGATAAGGCAGACCCATATCTTGTATTTTCAGTCCCTTATATGTGAACTTCAAGCATTTTATTCCATCATCTATGCATCTGTCTAACCCTAGATTTTTTACAGATATGTTATCCTCGTGTATCATATCTGCCCTTCTTACTCCCAAGGCTACGTGCTTTCTTTTCTGCTCTCTTGATTGACATTGAAGCCCAACCTCACCAGGGTTGGTTTTCCTTTGAAGGAGTGCCGCTGAAATGGCACTACCCCCTCGGACTCCTCTATGATCTATATTCGGGAGCAGACCCAGTGACCTCCAAATCCACTGTTGGGGAGGACGCTCCGCGCGCAACATCTCCACGAGAACCAGATGACGCCGCTCTCGACAATGTGCACGATCGCGGTGAGCCAATACCTTGGCGGTTGCAGGTTCATTTTAGCGACTGGCCGGACCAGGAGCTTGTTCGTCTCGATGCCGACGGAAGGGTGATGCATGATGCATTCATTAACAGTGTCAAGGAGGCCGATTTTGTGCGGAATGGAACTGCGAAGGGTATCATGACGTTGTCTAAGGAGGATTCATCAGGATTATGGCAAGCTGTCCAAGACCGTGCGTACATGCATTTCTTTGAACTCCTCTCCTCTCCTCTCCTCTCCTCTAGCTTTTAATGGAGGTGAGAAAATCAAAAAGCCATTACTGAAAAAGCAAGCGGGGGAAAATAAAAATTTAAAAATATAGACGACTTCACAAACTTCCACCGCATCTCCAACATCCTCATCCCGAGCCCACCCGCTCAATTCCGAAACATCCCCTTAAGAATCTTCCTCCCATCTCCACCGAACGCCGCCACCCCCTCCCTGAAAGTAATCCAGTCTCTATTCCCACCAACGTTTGTTCCGCCTGCACCCGGCCAAACCCAAACTGGAGCACCGGCACGGCATACCCAGCCACAGCCGCAGACTATCGGATCGAGTCTGAATGCTCTTCTCCCTAGCCTCTTCCCGAGCAAACGGGTCCCCGTCCTGGCGAAGCCTGTGCTTCAGGGGGCGGTGGTTCCCATGACCGCACCGCTTGAAGAGGTTGTGCGTGTGGCGGGGTATGCGGATGGGTGGTTAGCCATTGTAGTGTCCATGGTGGGATGACCGGATAGGACCCGCCAGAGGCATATATATTCATGCTCCGGCTTTGGTTTTTAAAATTTGGCGTCTAGCTCGCGGGAGAGCGAGAGTCTAAGATTTTTTTTTTATTTTTATTATTTTTTTTTTGAATTCTAGTTAGAACATTTGCATAGTGAGGAGAGAGAGGTTGTGAGGCTGGAGGGCTTTCTACCTTCCACATGGGGAATACGATCATGGTATCGACGCTGATGTGGAACCTGGGATTTTTTTTTTTTTTTTTTTTTTTTTTTTTTTTTTTTTTTTTTTCTTCCGTTCAACATTTTTTCCGCAATACATTAACTAGGGATGATTTCAATCATAATGGGAAAAACACTTTGGCATACGCTAAACTCTTTCTCTTTTCTCCTTCTCTCACCCACCTGCTACCTGCGCGTAGAGGGATAATTAGCTCCTATTGCCTTGCCCAATAAGCAATAAAATCCCAGTATAGCTAAAATACCCACAAAGGGGTCAAGGGAAAAGGAAGGGGGGGGGGGGGGGGGGTAAAGGAAAAAATAGGGGCATGGGTCCCAAATCATCCAAAAGAGTTTTTTTTTGGGGGCGGGTTTTTTTTTCCCAAAAAAACAAATTACAAATGCTTTGTTAGCCTATAAACCAAGGGGGTTATTTTTTTATTTCAGGGACCTTTTTTTTTTTCGTTATTAAACCCCCCGGGCCGAATTAAGGCTA